CCCCAGGCGGCCGGAAAACGCGAGGCCTCGTCGAAGCTCTAGAAGGAAGCCGTCTGCACCCCACCCCCGCCAGCTCCCAAACCCCCAACCCCGGTCCCCATCTCCCAGGCCCTAGCTGGCCCAGCGTTCCGCCTCGGAAGGGAAAACAGATCCCACTGATCTTTTGGCCTGCTCCTCTTTCTCCCAACTCTACTTCCAGCCTCTCACACAAGGAGAGCGCACTCACTGGGGTTCTCACCGCGTGGCCTCAGGTTCTGCCGTGCCGGGAGCCTGTTGAGGGGGCGTCGCGGCTCAGAATGAGCGCCCGATGGTGGGGGGGGGCAGTTTATATCTGTCTTGCTGTTGTTTGATATACACACACCCGCTCTATTTACTACCAAATAAAAGAAATACATCTGTGTTGCCAACAGAAACACTTGGGGTGCTGGCTCTGTGGTCTCCCAGGGTCCAGAGGCCTCCGGGGTGCTCCCAGCTCGGAGCCTGGCACTGTAAGGAGGCGGACACTGAGTAGGATCCCAGCCTACAAGAGCATGGGGGGCTGCGGTGGGATGGTGGCAAGTTCCGCCAGTTTATCTCAGATGGCTTGTGAGGAGGGATTTCGAAGTATCCCGGTCCCGAGGATGTTCATTCAGGCTTCCTGCAGTAGAGGTAGGAGCGCCACCTTGCTCTCTCCCCAGCCCTTTCCCAGGATTCTTCTCAGCTTGCCTTAGCCTGGGGCCATCGGAGAAAAGGGTCACTTCGAACAAGGTGTGTGTGACTATGTCTGTGCCTTAGCAATGGCATTGATGCTAAACACATTTGTGATTGGATTTGCTAGGAATCCATGGAAATAGTGTCTGTTAGGAGGTCTTTCTCTCTCTCTCTCTGTGTGTGTGTGTGTGTGTGTGCGCGCTGCGCGCGTGCGCGCGCGTGTGTGTGTGGTGAGTGTTGATATCAAATGTGGGTGTATCCTGTGTGTTTGCATGTGTGTCTCTTTGGGTGATGCAGAAATGATTTAGCCTGGAAGCTGAAGTCATTTGCATTGATTTGAAGATGAATTAGGATGCAGATAGGGAAGAATCTGAAGCTAGGGTAGTCAGAGAGAAGGCTGTCCTAGGAGAGAGGAAAAGGGATGCCCTGTCTTCCCCTAGGGAATGTCCAGGAGGAATTTTGTGTAGGCACCTTCACTTTTCCCAAAAATGGCCCCTTTTGGTGAGTGGTGCCAGCAGTTCCTTTACAGAGGCAGCAGGGAGGGGGGCATTCTGCCTGTGGGGGAGAAGACAGCTCTGGTGCGGTGGCAGCCCCACTAAGTGGTTTCTTGGCTTCTCCTGGCTTGAACGCCACAGAAAAACTTGGAGTTGAGCTTAGGATGCTTTGTGTAGAGTGGCTTCTGTGCTCCACAGCCCCGTACTTCAGCTCAGCCTTCTCTCTTGCCCTGGGATAAATGCCATGACCCCTGACAGGGGGGAATCGACATTTCCCACAGGGGCCAGCTTCTAAGCTTACACAGCCCTCAGCCCCCAGACCAAGTCGGCATCACCTCCCTCCCCCAGGGCGTGCTTCACTGTTAGGGGGAGGAGTGCTCTGGGGTCCAGGGCAGTGCCCCCCCCTGCCACACACACACACACACACACACACACACGCAAGAAGGAAAGGGAGGCTGTAGGGAGGAGGACAAAGGATAAACTGTGCTTGTGGAGAACCAGTTATTTCCCGACTTTGTAAAGACCTGGTCAGTCAAGAACCGTTTTCTAGAATCCATACACAAATAAAGAAGTATTTTCTTGGCATTTGATAACATCGTGTTCTGGCTGTAAAATCTGAGAACGTGTTTGCTATTGCAACATTATTTTTAATGAGCTGTTATTGGCCTGTCCTGCGGTTGGTATTGCCAACAGTAAAAGGCATCACCATGTTTGTAGGTAACACAAGGAACAACATATTTTGACCCGAATTTCTGTTTATTTTTCATTTATGACACATGCCCTCGTTTTTATTCCAAACCAGAGGGAAATAAAGAGAGATCTATCTTCACTGGGGTCCAGGCTAAAATTTTGCCATAAATACGCATGTCGGTTTATTTGGAGGGCAGTTTTCCATTAACAGGAAACTATACTGGACGTTTCAGCCACAGTAGAATCAATTGTGTCGATTGAATTTGAGGAGCCTAGCAACGCACTGCGAGGGGAAAGGGAGGCGTGCATGCGCTCCCCAGCGGTCGCGCCCTATGGCTGCTCTCTGGAATCTCTTCAGCTTCCCGGTTCCTCATCTCCCGCTTTCGGCTCCCCAGCTTCACAGCTGCCCCGCAGGGAGTTGTTCGTGCAGACCCTCAGCTTAAAGGCAGGCGGCCACACCCGGTCAACGAGGGTCGCCCAAGCACCTGCTTCTGCCTGGCGGCCCCGCCCTTCCAGGAGGTCCCCGGCTCGCTGTGCCTCCTCCGAAAGCTGCCCACCAAGAGCGCGGTGGCCTGGCGCCCAGCAGCGCGCGGATGCGGTGAGCGTTACGTTTCCCGGTGTCCGCCAGGACAGCGACCGGGATCTAGAGATGCCGCCCTGGAGGTGTTGGGCGCTGGGGGACAGAGAAAGGCCTGGCACGGAAGAGACAAAGTCTTCTCCGTTGCAGCTGTCAAAGCTGGGTAGCCTCTGTTCCCTGGCACTTGGCACATCAGGACCGCGCCCATGCCTGAGCCACCCAGGGAATCTCAGCTCCGCAAGCCCTGCGGAAGTCCCCCTCTCCTCGAAGTGGGGGCCGCAGTCCCGAGAGCTGGCTGTCCTCGGGGCTGTCCTCTCGTGGCCCAGCCTTTCCTAGCCTGACTTGGCAATCGGTCTTAGGCTGCAGCTAAACTCTGAACTCACTCCCTTCTTCCCTCCAACCAGAGCCCATCAAAGTTAACCAGTTGACGAGTGCTCAGGGATGCCCTGCCAGAAGCTCTTGGCTCCCGAAAAAAAAACCCAGGTTTAAGAACAGAACGCGAGGCTGCAGCTCCGTGTTGGGAAATACCAGCTGTCAGGTATTTCGCCTAGCGCGGCTGTCGCTTTGCTCGATTTCGCAAACTAGATAAGCCCGGGTCCTCGCCCCTTCCGCCCAGCATTCTTCACTGCTCGCTGGGCGTTTCGAGCCGCGTAAGGTACAGGGGAGAGAGTGCCTCTGGTAGCGAACAAAGCCACCTCTGTCTCCGCCGCCTCCCGGATTACAGGGATGTGCGTCCAGGTCGCACTTAGGGAGCAGCAGAAGCAGGCAGCGAGCAAGAGAGGAAAGAGTTTTGGAGACACTTGCTCTGGGGAAAATCGTCCAAACTTACACACTCTAGCAACAAGATAAGCTTTTCTTTTCTTTTTAATTAATTCAATGTCACGACAACATTAGTGTAACAATATTTTGTGGGGGTTTTTTTCCTCTTTTTCTTAAAAAGGGACTCAACCCAGGCATAGGTGAGGGAGATGAGGGGAAACAAAGTATCGCAGAACAACAGGTGTAGCCGACAGAAAGAAAACAGATTGGGTGACAGAGCCAGGAGCCCCGAAGAGGGTGAACTTTACAAGAAATCTGTACATTTATCAAATAAGTTAAAATTCTTCTAAATTGATTGTCCTTCACTTAAAGCGCTCCAGTATGCCTAACTTACTCCTTTGAGCATCATTACCTAAGCTCGTTTCCTTCTTCCCCTCTTTCCCCTGCCTAATTTTTTCTTTCTAAATGAATGTCCGTGATGATACAGTGAAAAAGGCCCGTTTCCCTCGGTGGAGGAGGAAACGCTTTCTCGGAAAATTTTGTAGGATATTGCACAGTTCGAAGTACAACAGTTACTACAGAACATGAAAGGTAAGAGGAGAGGATAAAAGATACCACATTAAAAATACTGAAATTACTCTCTCAAAACAGGGAACAAAGTTATAATAGTAATATTAATAATTTACGAAAGGAAATTTCCAAAATAAATGCTACTAATAAATAAGATCACTCAGACCAGGCCAGATGCAGAGCTGTTTCAACAGAGTTCTGATTTTTTGGCTGTCTTTTCCCTTTAAACACTTAAGAGAATTCTTCCATCACAAAGTAAGACCGATAAAGAGGCTCATTGCGACAGACCTCTCCAGAAGAGAAAAGCGGCCTGAGTCGGAATTCTTGTGAGAGGCTGCTCAGATTCTGAAAATTAAAGTGGATAACTGACTTGGGGGTGGGGAGGAAGAAACACCCCCAGAAATCCAAACTTACTACCATAGGAATTCTCTCTCTCTCTCTCTCTCTCTCTCTCTCTCTCTCTCTCTCTCTCTCTCGATTCTGAAACCTGTTCTATAGAAAATGAATAGACTAGGCCGGGCGCGATGGCTCACGCCTGTAATCCCAGCACTTTGGGAGGCCAAGGCGGGCGGATCACGAGGTCAGGAGCTGGTGACCATCCTGGCCAACTTGGTGAAACCCCGTCTCTGCTAAAAATACAAAAATAAGCTGGGGGTGGTGGCGCGTGCCTGTAATCCCAGCTACTCGGGAGGCTGAGGCAGAATTGCTTGAACCCGGAAGGCGGAGGTTGCAGTGAGCCGAGATCGCGCCATTGCACTCCAGCCTGGGCGACAGAGCCAGACTCCGTCTAGGAAATAATAATAATAATAATAATAATAAACTAGAGGGATTCCGGTTTTGCACTTACTTACCTTCTAGAAAAATAAAACCAAAAAGCCACAGCGCAATGGAAATTTGAAGGGGAGGGCTGCACATTTTACAAAAACTTTCGGTCTAAATATTTGCCCCAGAAATTTTGTCTCGTTCCTGCTTTCTCTTACCATAAGCCAAAACCAAAAGTAAGAGGGGAAGAGCCTCCAATCTATTAGGGATGAATTGCACGAAAATGCATTGCAAATACTTACAAAACGCTACCGACTGGGGGAGGGGAGGCCGAGGCTGCGCGCCGAAGGCCGGGTTCCTGAAGACCGCTGGACATCTAGGCGCCCTCGGCCCGGTCCAGTCTCCTCCGGGGTCCGGAAGAGGAGGCCGGGCGCTCCCTCCCCCACCCCTCTGGGGCTTCAGACCGGCCGTAGCAGCGGCACGGAGGAGACCACTGGGTGCGAGTAGTAGACGGGGTGCGGGAAGGTGAGCAGCGGCTGGCTGACAGGCACCGGGGCTCCCGCGGCTGCAGCCGCCGCGCCCTCGGCCGCCGAGTTCTCGTGGTAGAGGATGGGCACCCGCACGATGCGCTGCGCCGCGGCGTGGCTCAGGTTTGCTGCCTCCAGCTCCGCCGCCAGCTGCCGCTTCCACTTGTTGCGGCGGTTCTGGAACCAGATCTTGACCTGCGTCTCAGTGAGGTGCAGCGACGCGGCCAGGCCGGCGCGCTCCGAGCTGCTCAGGTAGCGCTTCATGTCGAAGGTGGACTCCAGCTGGAAGACCTGGCTGCGCGAGAAGACGGTGCGCGTCTTCTTCTTGCGGCACGCCGGCTTCTTCTCCGGACTCTCCGCGCCCTTCTTCCAGTCCTCTGCGCCCGGAGTCGCCGCCGCCGCCGCCGCCGCCCCTGCGGCTGCCCCGGCTGCGCCTGGCGCCGCTTCGCCTTCCTTCTTGCTTTCCTCGGAGTCGCTCTCCTCCAGAATGATCTCGTCCGGGCTCTTGGAGTCCAGCTCCTTGGGGTCGGGGTCAGTCTTGAGCAGTGGCTCCGGAGAGTCGCGGTCCGTGCCCGAGGCGGGGGAGGAGTCTCGCAGGAGGGCCTTCTCCGAGGCTGGGGAGACAGACAGACGGACGCACACACATGCACACCGACACAGCCTTGAGCGAGGCCCGGCGCCTGGGGACCGCAAGCTCAACCCGCGCCGGCCTCCAGGTCCCGGGCTGCCAGGCTTCACCATTCCCGCGGGCCGCCTCCTTCCTGGCTGGGCCAGAAAAGGGACGCCAGGTCTTGGGATCCCCCTCCTCCCGAGGACAGGCGAGCAGAGATGGCAGCGCGGCCACCTCCTTCCATTCCCTCAGCTTCCCTGCCAGGGGCCCGCGGAATGGTTTGCTTTCACCTTAGGCTCATTGGAATCACCCCCTCCTTCCAGGCCCTGTCCCCTGCCCCGGCAGTCCGAAACCTCCCTATTCACGCCTGAGGCCACTTTTCCCAGGAAGCGCAGTGCCCCAAGCTCCAATTCCACTTCTTTTCTCACCAAGTGGGATTGGATTCGCGGGCAGCCAGGGGGCCGAAAGAAATTGAACAAACAGAGGGTTTGTGGGTGCTGGGATCCCAGAGCTGCGGAAGGAAGCAGCGCCGGGCGGGGACGGGACGGGCGCGCAGGGGGACAACGAAAGTTCAAAGAGAGGTCAGTACCTTCAGGTCGCGGGAGGTGGCCGCCGGCGGGGGTCAGGGTGTAGGGGTACCACCAGGCTGGGGAGCGCTCCAGGTAGTGCGCGGGCAGGGCAAACCTCTGCGCCGGGATCTCAAAGCGGGGGAAAGCCAGGTCGCCCACCTGCGAGAGCGCGAAGCCCGCGGCTCCCTCCAGGGCCCCCTTGGCCGCCGCGGCGGCTGCAGCGGCCGCGGCGGCGGCGGCAGCCGAGGCCGGCGCGAAGAGCGTCCGTGGGGGCGGCTGCGGCTTAGGGGGCGGCCGGTGGTGGTCTCCGTTGAGCAGGTTCTTGATGGAGAACGGGGACTCCTTGGGAGCGGGTGGTGGGGGCGGCGGCGGAGGGGGCTGTGCGCTGGCGGTGCCGGGAGCGTCCGGTCCGGGTTCCGGCATGGTCCCCTCTCCTCCGGGTCCCCGGGAGGGAGGGAGTGGGACAGGCGGGCGGCGGGACGAGCAGGCGAGAGGCCGGAAATCAGACCATAAACGAAACTCAACTACCGGGCGCAAAGTCGTGGGCCGCCCCGGGCGCAAATCCAGCGGCGGGAGGGCGGGGTGAGGACCCAGTCGGGGGGGGCTCGCATGGGGGAGGGGTGCAGAGGGGCGGGGAGCGGCCCAGCCGCGGCACGGAGGGATCCAGGCGGCTCGGCTTCGGCTGCGGCTCCCGCGGAAGAGGCAGCAAGAGCAGTCCCCGGCTCGAGGCTGCGTCAATCCGGCGCCGGATGCTAATGATGAAATCAAAATGTCATCCAAGTTAAATGCGGGGAGTATACGGCGATTGGGCGCGTACAATGGCAAATGGGATTAGGCAGGCGAAGGCTCAGCCGAGCCCCGGCCCCGCAGCCGCCTGTGCCACCGCCCCCTCCTCGTCTTCCCTCGGATTTTGGCGCTTTGGCTTCGGGCTATAAGAGCCCGCCTGTTATTGGCTTTATATAGTCCAATTAGGCAGCAAATGAGGACAAGCCTATTAGCACAAAAGGATATTGGCTCTCGCTAAAGAGGCACTCGGAGCGCTCCTGCCAGCGCAGGAGGCTAGCGAGGAACACGGAGCAGGCGGCGCCCCTGGCCGAAGCGCACTGACAGCCGCGAGCCGGGAGCCCGCGCCTGCCTCTCCCCCCTGCGGCGCAGGGACCCGCTTCCCGAAGCCAGGCCTACGGGAGGGGGGAAGAGGCGGGCCAGGCCCTCCCGGGTCACCTCGGGGTTATCTACGCTCGCAGCTGCCGCTCCCCCGCCTCCTGGGGCTGGACAGGGGCCCGCCGCCCCCACGCGGCTGGAGAGCCACGCAGCGCGGGCCCAAGAGGCAGGACGCGACCTCGGCCCGCGGCGAACTCATCACTTTCCTACCCTTTGGGGTCCGGCAACCTCAGCATTTTTCCTTAAGCCTGCTAGGAAGGGCGCGGCCAAGAAGACAGGGATTTGGGTTTCCCACCCATCGTCCAGCCGATAGCAAGGGAATCGGGGTGTAAGTCCTCACACTGCGTATTCGAGCTCAGAAATCCGCGTGGCCTTGGCCTTTGGCCCTGGAAAACTGAGGAGTGAGCCTTCCCCGTGAGCAGGAGTGGGTGTGCGTCTGTGCGTATGCGCGCTGATCCGGCCAAAACCCCGGGCTTCACTCGATGGGGCTGCTGGGGCAACAGCTTCTCGGCACCGAAGGCTGCACTCGGAAGGGCATTCCTCTGCCCTGGCCAACGGTGCCCAAGGCTCGCAGATCAGCTCTGAGTCTGTGACCCCGAAGACAGCACCTTCTCCCAGGAAGTCTGTCCCGCCGGCCGGCGTTTGGAGCTGCCTAACTAACGCTTTGATAGGGGCAAGGTGAACCGAAGGCTCAGCGGCGTAACTTCCTCGGCCGCGGCAGGCAGCGGCACCCGCTGCGCGTCTCGACGGCAGCCGAGTCCTTACAGAACCACACTGGACCTTTGCAAACGGCTTAGGGAAGGTCACTCCACTCCATTGGCTTTAGAAACAGCTCCCCGGTTCGCACGAGAAGCCCATGAGGCAGACATTTAAGACTAGATTTAAGCATCAAGTACATCAGAATTGTTTGTGGGGTCCCCTCCTGAGAGACAGCTTTCTGATCAGAGAAAGGTGACAAGCCGGCCTCACCCTCTTCCACCTGGGTGAAGCTCCCGCACATGAGGGCTTTTGGGGATCCCTTCACCTCCACACCGCTTTCTTTTTTGTTAGATTCAGCCCCACCTAATTCAAGGCCGCCCTGCATTGGCAGACGCGACCGTGTGGGGTCCCCACTTGAGACGCAGATTTTGTTTTTCTGTCCTGGGGCGTGAGACCCTCCCTACCAAATCTCGACGGGCGTCTATAATGTTTCTTTCCGCATTCATCTACAGCAGCGAACCCCATTTTTGCTTTGGAAATCTGGAAACGTAAATGGCACCTCCATAAACAATGACTATTAATGTTCCCTTGAGTTTACACAAGGCTTTGCTGGAATGCAAAACACTACACCATCCAAAACTCTGGGTTATAACGGATTACTGCCCTGAGACCCCAGCAGGGCTGGTCTCACACTTGGATTTTAAAGTTGGAAACCGCGCCCAAAGAAGAAGAAACTGGGCCTAGGTCACCCAACCGCTATTGGATACCCAGAGGTCATTTTCTCCCTAACCGCAGAAATGGTTCGATGCACGTAGGTCTATGAGGGTTGAGTGGGCACCACCTGCACACAGGTGGCCGACTACTCGTGGAGAGACCCCTGCGTGTGTGCGCGTGTGTCGTGGGAGCTCCGCTATCCAGGGCAGACGCACGCAAACTTGGGTAGAGTTCCGACGCACGGAAGTCGCCTTTAAACTGGAACAACTTGTCAGCTCCCCTGAAATAGAAGCGCCCTGGCAGAGGTCGCCGAAAATGCTGAGGGTTCTGTCTGGGGAGGACTCGTGGCTGATCAGAACTCCAGGGCTAGACGCAGCTGGGGAGGGGACAGTCCCAGTCTGGCAAGAGAAGAGTCCTGGACAGCCGCCCCCGTCCCTGCTGTGCGGCTACCCGATCCTGGCTTTCCAGTTGTCGCCCCAAGTTCACCCTTTAACTCCCCTCCCAGGGAAGCGCAGGGGCGGTGTTGTGTGCTTGTATGCTTGGCCAGGGAGAGGAGCTTTTCCAGTGTCCGCACTCTCAGCCCATCCTCTGAATTTTAGGGATTGCTTGGCTTGAACAGCAGGATACACTGAGTAGATCTTTCCCTTCCCCTTCGAGAAAGCTGGTGGGAGTCGGGTCTGGGCGCCGGCTCGGCCCTTCACTCGCCCTCCGGCGAGGGGTGTCGCCTGCGTTCCTGCGCTCACGACTCCGTTCAAAGCCAGGCAGACAGCGCCCTCTACGGGACAGCCTGCGAACCAAGCCTGCGCGCTCCGCTGGGGAAACCACCGTCCGGCGCGGGTCCTCTTTAACAGCCACTCGGGTCTCGCCCTTCGCGGTCGCGGTTAGAGAACAAAACCAGCTTTTCTCTGGATCCCGGGAGAAGCAGTGGGGGACATCGCCTTCAGATCTCTGCTCATCTTTACCTGGCCACCACAGGAAGTGGTCTCACCTGCCTGTCATCCTCCTTCCCTCTTTTCCTGCCTCTGTTTTAGGGCCCATTATTCTGTGGTCCCCGGTTCATCCTTTAGGTACCGGTCCCAACTAACCTCAGGCTACGTGTCCTCCAGGAAGGACGCGGGGAGGGGATGGGCCTGCCTCATTCGTCTTCCCAGGACTCAGCGCCGTCGGCCAACCAGCGGGTGCTCAGGGACGGCTTGTGTTAATGCCTGAATGCCTGAGTCAGACGGCTGGATGGATGGATGGATGGATGGATGGATGGATGGATGGATGAATTCACAGCTCCCTTACAGAGAATTGGCCCACACTTGATTAGGGACCTTCAGATAGCCTGATCATACCCAAAAGCTGTTTTTAAAAAGTTTAATGAAAAATCTGAGATTCTTTTGATGCTGCTGCATTTTACAAGACCTGTGGGAGCTCAAGGAACGGGAGACCTTTGGGGTACCTTTCCCAGGCTAATCCCAGACAGATGGGCCATGAGAGCAGGGTCTCTCCACCACCCACCCTTGGGACAAGGAGCCAAGAGGGCAGAGGGAGTCTGGAGAATGCCAGTGATTAACACCCAACTTTTACACAAGAGCATGAAGCCTGACGCAGGAGTGCTTGGCATGGCGTCCTCACTTGCCCCAAGCCTGCCACACACACACACACACACACACACAAAGCACATACACATTTGTGCACACACACAAGTCAGTAAGCAAAGCGCTTCCCAAAGGAGGGGAGCATTTCCCTGCTTGCTAGTACTTCACCTAAGAGAAGGCTGCTTCCTTCCCTCCGTAGCCATACTGCAGTCCTCCTTGGAGCAGCTTCCTGGCACAGCCCACCTCCTTATCCGTGGAGGGGGCAGTGACTGCTTAGGCTTCTAGCCAAAGCTGCAAAGCTCCCAGGCTGGAGGCCCCCACAATTAACAGAGTTTGCCCTGGTCCTGATGGCCCCATTTTCCTACCCACTTCTTCTGACCTGCAGGTCCTTGCTTTGAAGGCAGAATGGACAAAAGCCTGGAATTGTGATCCTGGGGAAACTGTGCTAGCTACACATGCTACACACGCTCTTTACTGAAACTTTCCTGGAAACTTCTCTCCCATCTTTCTCGATGCCACCAGGAATGCTGCCAATGAAGTCTCCCTCTGGCTAATGACTGACTCTGAGAAAATACACAGCCCTGGGAGACAGGTCATAGCCAAGCTGTGCTTGATCCTGTGTTTCCTGAATCACATACAATGTCTTTCGAGTGGCTGAATGTCTAACCCTTTCCTGACAGTGAGGGTAACAGTTATATAGACGTAATATCAGCTCATGGTCATTGACTCCTCATTATAAGCCAGGCACTGTAACTTGGTGAGGTAGGTACTATTATTATTTCTGATTGACAGATGAGGAAACTAAGGTCCTGAGTATGACAAGGAAGAGCTGGAGAGAGTACTGAAACATTTACCCTCGTAGGGTTATTGCAAGGACAGGGCTGATGTATGGTAAGTGCTCCTAGCTATTGTGCTGTTACTCCTTATTCATTCATTCTTCAGGATGAACCCACAGGCCTAGGTCTGTTCTCGCGGGGTTACCTTGAGGAAGCTAACACAGATCTTCAATGGAGAGATGCCCCAAGAGTTGCTTTCTTGCCTCAAGGAGGCCTTACTCTACTCTGGAAGTGAGCCAGCTCTCCTGCACCCCCCTTTCTCTTCCTGGTTCTCTTGTCTTCTTTGAAATTTCTTCTCACAGTAAGGCACAGTGGCTCACATCTGTAATCCCAGCACTCCAGGAAGCTGAAGTGGGAGGGCCTTGCTTGAGGCTGGGAGTTTGAGACCAACCTGAACAACACCGTGAGACCCTGTCTCTACAAAAAAAAT